GGGGGGTCGGAACTGAGTAGAGCAACTTTTTTTAGGTAAACGCCTGACACTTCATCGCACTTGGTATTTTCACATGCTTTGCATCTCATCCAATCTTCAAAACCACCTATGAATTGTTTATTTTTACTTTTCCGCGTAAACGTTGAGAAAATACACGGAGACTTGGACAAATTAAAGAGATCTGCCCCAGGTAACAGTCAGCGCCAAGTATGGAAACCCGGCCTTCCTGCAGTCAGTCCGGGCAAGAAAAGAAAGCTTCCACTCGGACGGACCGACACACAAGCAGTCCCTGACCCCATTAGAGGGCCGGCCCCGCAGACCCCGAAGGCTCTGGCCAAGGGCCTCCCAGCGTGGGTGTCTTGCCCCAGCGCACCTGACCTCCCGGGCCCGGCGGGCACCTACGTGCTTGGAGGTGAGCGCTGTGATGCCGCGGACGAGGCTGCCCAGCCGCGAAGAGAAGGACGCCTTGGCGGCCGCAGCCCCACCACCCGGCTGGTTCTGCAGGAAAAGTCCCGGCAGCGCCGTCAGCGTCTTCTCCACTATATCGCTCATTGCCGCCGCCGCCGCCGCCGCCTGGACTCGCGTCACCACCCGGTCTGATGCCCCCCAAGCCCCTCCGCCGGCCCGGCCTCCGTAGGCACTTCCTGTTTGTTTGACGAAGAAAACTTTATTCGCGTCCGCGTGAACAAGCTAAATGTCGCTTTCGAGAGCGGCCACCGGGGGGCGCAAGAGTCCACAGAGAAAAAGCCGCTCGCCCAAACTTGTTCAAACAGACTGACCTCCCTAGAGAGGTAGAGAGAGCGGGCCTCCCCGGTTTCCATCGCAACCCGGGATCCAGCGCACCTTTGAGTTCTCTAGTGGAAGCCGCTCGGGGCCCGTCCTTCTTACAGTTTGTTCCCCAGAGTCTCCCCTTTCTTTCCCATTAGCTGCCTCCGCGCTGCCCGAGGCTGCAAGAGCAGGTCTACATTCCCGGACACCCCTTTTTAAGGACGTCCCCATTCAACCACCCCTCACTGTCGGCGACATCACGGGCAATCTGCCCACTTCCCTCCGCCGCCCCCTGAGAAGTGGGTTCCCCACGGGTGCCGGGCTGGCTCTGGATCTGGCCGTGCTAGGGACACACGTGTTGTTGAATGAAATGAACCGCGCGGTTGTCCTGGGAATTCATCGTGCCAGGTTCAGAGCCCGCCGCGAAGAGGGGACTCATGGCCAATGTAGCTTCTAGTCCATCTCTCTTCTCTGTGGCTTTGAGGAGGCCAACAGGAAGAAGTGGTCTCGTGTCGCCCCCCCACCCCACCAGCCTCGCTGATACGGGTGGCAGCTTAAATGTCACTTTCTGGCAGAAGCCTTCCCTGCCATGGTAGACGAGGACAGGTCTCCCTGTCCTACCCTTTCTCATAGAACTTCGTTCTTTTCGTGTTTATGTCTTATCACAGCTACCACTACATAAATATTTATCTCCCTATAGAGAAAATGTCGTATATCTTGCTATATCCCCAACTCCGACCCAGAACAGAATGTACTACGTTAGTTCTCAAGATGTGGTCTGATGACCTCCGAGGGTTCCTGACACCCTCCCAGGGGATCCACGAAGTCAAAACTGTATTCACTCTCATTCTCTCATGAGTGTAAAGAGGAATTTTCCAGAGGATAAATGATGTGTGATCCCTCTGTTGGCAGGTAAAACGCGCGCTTGTGTTTTCTAGAATTTTCCAAAGTCTAGGGTACAAATAAGTGCTTTTTCAAAGATTGACTTAGTTTTTCTCTAGTGTGTTCTAATCTCTAACCTCATTATTATCCAATAAATGATTTTTTGAAATCCCAAAGTTGTCCTTGTACGTATGCAGAAACATAAGGGAAAAGTATACTTCGTTGACTTGTTTTACAAGAATGTTTTCAAATTTATTGAAAACTTTTCTAAATATTTAAATTAATTTTATATTATTATTTTTAGAATTTAACATTTTATTCTAAAAATAAAAATTTTTCAAAATATCTTTCATTGGCTTAAGGAGCCCTAGTAGTGCAGTGGTTAAAGTACTCGGCTGGTAACCTAAAGGTTTGCAGTTTGGAGCCACCAGCAGCTCCACAGGAGAAACTTGTGGCAGTCTGCTTTCCTCAAGACTGCAGCCTTGGAAACCCTGTGGGGCAGTTTTGCTCTGACCTATAGGGTCCCTATGAGCCAGAAGCTACTCCAAGGCAGTGGGTTTGGTTTTCATTGACATAAAACAGGAAGATTAGAAGACTTACCTTTTAAATCCTTCCACATCTAAAGATGATGGAAAAGATATTGGCAGCAGTATTAGAGCATTCTCTGACTCATGGAAGGGAGACATATGGGTGATATGCAAATACGACAGTATCACAAAAGATATCTTTCTTCCCTTTAGCTTCAGAGATGTTAATAATTTACCTTATCTTGTATTCAACAGAACATTTTCAAATACTTTCATGGTGCCGGTTACGTTGAGGCATCATTTTGAGACCAATCATTCAAAGTTTAGAAGAAATGAAATTGAATAATTTAGAAATGATGAGCTCTATAAAAGTCAAAGCTTTTTTGTTACCACTTTTCGAACAAGAAATGAAAAACCCACTGTAACATCTTTCAGGGTAAATTACTGTATTGCTTTGGCTATGAAAGAAGGGCACACAATAGCCAAGAGAGTAATAAAACCTACATTACTCAATGCCTGCTAAATGAAAAATCAGTAAAAGAAATTATGGCCGTGCTACTTTCCAAAGATGCAGTAACTATCAAATTAAAAATTTAGTTGCAAACATAAAGACTGAGTTAATATCTCATCTGCAAAATTATACTGCCTTTGAAACGGCAAAATTATAGACATGGCTGGACTTGTTGTTTTGCTTGTATCTGGTATCAGCACCAACAAATAAAGATATTCTTTTATGTAAATACCTGACAGCAGACCCAAGTGGTATTAAACTAAGAGTTGAGCAGCTTTTTTGAATCTCATAGTTTACCCTGAAACAACCGTGTTGATGTTTGCATTGATGGTGCAAAAGCAATGCTGGATAACACTGCTGGCACCTCAGTACGAATCAAGGCAAAGGCACCAAACCGTGTCCTTCACAACCAAACACTCAGATTTAAAAAAAAAGCAAGTTTTACTTAAGAATGTCTTTGATGAAACAGTAAGAATTACTAATTCTATTAAATCTCAGCCTTGGAGTATCCTTTTTTTAATATTTTGTATGACAAAATGGGAAGCAGTTGCTTTGGTTGGTGGAACAGCATTTTTCCTTGAAAAGAACGATTGGCAAATAATGGTTTTCTTGAAAATGACCAGTGACTCTGATCCTTCAAGGAAAATAACTGACAATATTTGTTGCCAATCATAATATTCAAGCTTTCAAGTGAAAATTAGAATTTTGAAAAATGTATACCTACCACCATGAGACCGTTCTGATAAAATTGGTGGTGGCATTAATGAATGCTATTTTTTTGCTATTGCATAATGAAATGTGTTAACATTTGGAATATTTACATAAGCCAATGAACTAATGTGTTCCAAATGATCAATGCATTGGTGTGATAAAATCATGCACGGGCAAAAGGGCCATTTAAAGTGTATAGCAGACCGACGATTTAATGTAACTCAGTACAGAAAGTTCACTGCTATGTTTTCAGATTCCACATTGCAACTAAACTTTAAAAAAATTACTTCTTGTCAAGTTTCAGTATTGGATCAAAGAAGAATTTCCACAGTTTTTTGAAAAGGCTATTAAAATACTAGGTCCCTGGATGACACAAGTGTTTTAAAATCAGCTACTAACCTGGAGATTGACAGTTTGAGCCCACCCCAGCGGCTCTGTGGAAGAAATGCCTAGTGAACTGCTTCCATAAACATTACAGCCAAGAAAACCCTATGGAGCAGTACTACTCTGTTACACATGACTCAACAGCAATAGATTATGTTATGTTTCTGCTATTAAAATACTCCTTGTTTGTCAACTACGTGTGTGTGAAGCTGGGTTTTCTTCATAAACTTCAACCAAAATGCAACCCTGTGAAAGATAAGGGCCCCCAAAGACATGTCCATATCCTGATCACTGGAATTTGTGAATGTTATCTTATATGGTAAACTTATATTGAACTTTTTAAAATTAAGGTTATCGAGATGAGTAGATTATCCTGGATTATCTGGGTGGGCCTAAATGCCATAAGTGTTTTGTTTTGTTATTCATTTTTTTGTTGTTGTTGAGAATATATACCTCAAAACATACACCAATTCAGCTGTTTATACATGTACAATTCAGTGACATTGATTACATTCTTTGATTTGTGTAAGCATTCTCACCCCTTTTCTGAGTTGTTCCTCCCCCATTAGTTGTTCCTGCCCCCTGAGTTTCCCATCAAACCTTTTGTGTTGCTGTTGTCAGTTTGATCCCATATATATAGTCCTTAAAGAGCACAATGCTCAAGGCAGACATTCTTTAGTAGTTAAGCTAAACTATTGTTTGGTTTTTAGAAGATTTCAGGGAATATTTTTGGTTTAAGGTTTAAAGATTATCTCAGGGCAATAGTTTCAGGGATTCATCCAGCCTCCACGGCTACAGAAAGTCTGAATTCCATGAGAATATGAAATTCTGTTCTGCATTTTCCCCCTTTTCATCAGGATTCTTCTATAGAATCTTTAATCAAAATCATAACAAGTGTTTTTATAAGAGAAATGGCAAAGGGAGGTTAGTCACCACACACAGAAGAGAAAAAGGCCCCATGAACATGAAGACAAGAGATTAGAGCAAAGGGGCCACAAGCAAAGGAATACCAACAGCTGCCAGAAGCTGGAAGAGGCAAGGAAAGGATTCTACCCTGAAGCCTCCGGAGGGAGCACAGCCCTGCCAACAGCTTGATTTTGGCCCAGTGAAGCTGATGTTGAACTTCTGGTCTCCAGAACTGTGAGAGAATAAATTTTTGTTTTTTTAAATCACCATGTTTGTGGTAATTTGTTACAATAGCCACAGGAAACTAATATAAACCCCAAAGCAACAGATTAAATGCAAAACTAGCATGAGAATCCAACTACCTTATATTAAGCCTGACATTAAAGAGATTTGGAAGGTTGTAAAACAATGCTACTCTTCTGGCTAAATTTTTTTGCTTTGAATATATAGCTATTTTTCATGAAAAATAAAAATAGGTTAAAGTATAATTGTTTTGTTATTATTTTCAAATGAATTCATAAATATCTTAATATTTTCTCAGCTTTACATTTTAGTCTAGTAAATATCAGTAGAAATAACCTAGATAAACAAAAGCTCTTTTGGGTCCTAATAATTTCCAAGAGTATAGTGGGGTCTGGAAACCAAAAGTTTGAAAACTGCTTATCTAGTACATAGCAGGTACTCAATTACTTGTTGAAGAAATCATTGTATTAATCATTCAATCACATCAATCAATATATGAATATAAGCCAGTGAACAGCAAAAGAGTTTAGGGTTAAGGTTGATGGTTGCAAGGAATGAAGAAAGAAGAGATATTGAAAAGGAAAAAAAATTGGAAAAAAGACAAAATTATCTCCAACTGGCCCGATTATGAATGGGAAGTTGCTAGAACAACTTTCCAGAGCTTTCTAATCTGCGA